CCCCCCCCCCCCCCCCCCCCCCTTCTGCCCCACCCCCACCACCCCCCAACCACGGCCGAAGTCGGCGGTGTCGTCAGCTTCGGTACGGCCGGCGGCAAGAGCGACAACTCTTCGCCTTGATTAGCAGGAGACGATACCCCTGCCCAAGCCCCCCCGCCTGAGGCATCAGCGCCCTGCTGCGGCGCGTCCCCCCCTATGCCCCCCCCCGCTGCCGGGGGGCTACCTCTCACTGGGCCCCCTGCCGCCGAAGCTTCGGCGGACGGCGGTGAGGGATCGTTCGCCGCTTGGGTCTCCGCCGTCGTCGAGGTCTTGGAGCAGGACGACGGAGAAGAGAACATGCGTACCTTGGCGGGACTCCAATTGAGGTCCGGGGTGCGCGAGAGAAGCACCTCCCACAGGTAGGGGAGGAAAAACGCCTCGGAATGCTCTCCCTGCGCGCGCGTTTATTTGTCGTAGATGCGGGAGGGGGCCGGGCCACGGGGTGGGGGGGTAGAGGGCGTGGAAGTGATACATGCAAACAGAAAAAAATGGAAGGAGGTTGATGTTTGTTTGATTATCCGAACCCACTTGCAACGTGGAGGCGGTCGTCTATGCACGCGTCTCTCACTCTCCTTATTCTCCTCCTCCTCCCCCTCCTCCCCCTCCGAAATCGCTTGGCACAAATGCATCTCTCAGTAAACTGATATTAGGAATAGCGGTACTGCCCTGAATAACGGCACCAAAACCTCTTGTCACTACCTACCGTTCTTGAGGACCGCCCGCCGACTGCTGTAGGTGCTACGCCTGCGCCCTACCACAAAAATGCGACTACGCCTTCGCCCTGTCTGTGTCTCCCCGAACGCACCTCTTCGTAGACCAGAGTAACGCCCTCCCCTCCATCAGCTTCACCGTCCTCAACCTCCCCTCCCCCACCCCCCCGGCCATCCTCTGCCGCGTCGCCCCCACCATTGTGGCCCATGCCCAAAGCCTGCCGTAGTACACCGAAACGAGTACTATCGAGATTACGATCGGGACCCCACGTGATTGAATTTTTATTGCTGTCATTGAATGTTTTTAGTGGCAATACTGAGTTGTTGATTTTTTTTTTCCATAATTATTTATTGTTTAGGGTTGCGCTAAATCGGAAGAAAGCCTTTGGGTGTTGGGATGAACGATTTCCACGAACATGGAGAACAGTGACAAGGAACATGGGAAAAACCGTGGGAAAGGGGCTTGCCACGGGCAGACTCTTCACAGTCTTCGTAGACATGGTCTGTTCAAACGAGAAAATCGACGGCAACCAACACCATAGAAGTACCTCACGTGGCACATGCACACACACAGCAGGGTTGGATGCTGTTTTGACAACTGGCAAGAGTATCCATTTACACGCACGGCCGCCGGACGATGACCCGCATGGTTCGTACGACGACAAGAAAACAAAACATTCGCACCACGCGCAACTCACGTCGCGTATTGCCATGACCAGTTCTTTTCGCGTGGTCGATTGCCACATGGTACCTCGTTCGTTATTACTGGCAACACCCAAGCGAAAAATAAAAAACTACCCCCACCCCCATCCATGTTGCCTTACACACATACACACCCTCGAGGGCCAAATCAAGATCTTGTTCGAGGTTCCTCATAACCGGGTCAAAGGCCTGTTTGTGGCCGCAGCCGTGACGAGAAAACAGCTTTTAGCTTGGAATCTCTACACAAAACCGTTCGATCAAATAGTACGCAAAGAGAGTCCTACCCCCCCCCCCCCCGCCCTGGATGCCTCGCCTCGGTGGTGTAGTGCCGCACGCCCTTCTTTACCGTCTCCATTGCGCTCTCCGCGGTGAGGCCAGTGCCACCCTCGTCCTGCAAAGGAACCAGCAACGACAAACACGGCAAAACAGGGAGCCGAGGCACGGCAAGGGTGCGGGCTTTTCAAGCAATGCTTTCGACAAACACACGCGTGGTGCCTAGAGGAACACAAAACAGAACGACAAAAAAAAAAAAGGCGGCGTTTGTAAGGGAGCAACAAAAACGCGAAAAAAACAACACACACACATGCACATTCATACCGCTTTGGGTTTGAGCTCCTGAGTTTGAGTTGGAAAGCACACGACAACGTGCGAATACACGTGAAACCTTTTGGCACCGGGTGGAAACCAGACCACCCCGCTGCTGCTTGGTGTTTGCCTCAGACTCTTGCGCGCTGCCGTGTACCGCGCAGCTCCGCCGAGCCGTAGAGCAGGTGCAACGACCCCGCCCCCCCCGGAGCAGACGAGCAGACACGCCTCGCAGGCATTTTCTCGTACAACGAGTCAAACGATAGGTTTTCCGAAAGCTCTCGACGAGACGGTTGCGACGCCGCGACCACCCCCACTCCTTTCTGCTGTGGAGAAATCGATCTTCGAAAATCAGCAGTCCACAAAGGGGTTGTGACATCTTGTGTCACCTACGGTAGGTAGGAGTCTACACCGGCCTACCTCTTCGCGCTGGCGCGCCAGGTCTTGGAAGTGCGCGAGCAGTCTCGGCAAGCCACCCGCCCACCCGGTCGCGGCCAGCGCTGGGTGGGCGCAGATCGCGTCGAGGGCGGCCTGAAAAACAGCAGTAGTTTCGGCAAGGCAAAGCAGGCAGGGGGGCCAGCAAAACATTCACGGTGGAGGGATGGGGTGGGGGGTAGGGGGTGGGGGGTGGGGGGTGACTGCGTGCGACGCATGGTACGTGCGACGCGTGGTGGTGTGGTTCAATGGTTGCGGGTACGCCGCGAGCGAGAGAGGAGTAGGATCGGGCCTGACAAACGGCCCCGTCTGAGTGTAGCTAGTCGTGAGCCCGTGTTCCTGCCGTTGCGACTCTGCGTATGTTCCATACATAGAGAAGAACCACCCCCAGATGCAGAGAAAGAAGCTTCATACCTTCGTAGCACATCCACTACCAACGTCTTACGCGGCGCTTGCCCACCCGAAACCGTAAACACACAGGCCGGCCGCGAGAAAAAACACACACACACCTGCTCGTGAAGCAGCGCGTACAGGAGCTCCACGTTGCTGCCGAGCCTCCGTGGCCGGGTGCACGACCACACGAACAGGAACAGCACCCGGGCGACCTCCCCGCACAGCTCCTGCACGTCGCTGAGCCCTCCCCGCCCCCCCCCTACCTCCGGCATCGCACCCCCCGGCGGCGCCGCCATCGGGTCCCGACCGTTCTCTGATACTACGGCGCCCCCGTTCCCCCCCCCGGCGCCGCCGCCGCCGGCCCCTCCCGGTTGCCGTCCCGTGCCTGCGCCTTGCCCCGCCGCCGTCGCCGCTGCCGCTTGTGCCGTCATTGCGGCGGCAGCGGCGGACGTGGCTCCCTGTATCCACCGGCGGGAGGCGGCCACAAGCACGGCGACGAGGCGTTCCGCGGCGTATGGCTGCAGGTGCTCCGCCTGGGGGGCGAGGTTCACCAGGACGGCCAGGCAGTTCTCCAGGAGGTACCCGTCCTTTAGTCTAGGAGGGGGGGGGGGTGTACTCATAGTCGTGCATGCCGTAGTCGTTTGACCATTGACCTCGCATCCCTACAAAGCCGGGACGGAGCACGCCGGGTTCTCACCGGACCAGGCTCTCACATCACCAAGCGCGAAGCGCCGTGAGGTATTTGGCGAGTCGCATGAAGGGTGAGCTGCATCCTGCTAAGGGTGTTCGGCATCTTGTGCTTACTTCCTTGCGTACGGATGACAGCTACGTACGACTTAATTTATTTTCTGGTGCTTTCACTTCCAGAGACAGTTGTAAGCACTGTGTAACTGCCTCGAGGAAGCTTGACCATTTTAACACAACGTGGTACGATCATCCCCCGTTGCGCGGAGTGAGGTTTCTCGACCCCGCACAACATGATCTACTCGACCACCATTATGGTTACCGCCAAAAAAAAAACCGAGGTAAAAAAAAAAAACGGTAACCTGGTTGCCGAGTTCACGAAGTGAATTGGCTTGTTTTACAACGTCGTTGCCAAGCGACGAAAACCCAATCCCGATTGCAAACACCGAGTGGGGGGCTTGTTTTACAACGTCGTTGCCAAGCGACGAAAACCCAACCCCGATGACAAACACCGGGGGGGGCGGCATGTTTTACAACGTCGTTGCCAAGCGACGAAAACCCAACCCCGATGGCAAACATCCGGGGGGGGGCAGGGGGGGGGGGGGGGAATTTTAAAGGGCCCAAAATAAAAAAATAGGGAAAAAGGGGGCCCCCTA